TTTGAGATGCAGCCTCACTCTGTCACCCAGGCTGGAGTGCAGTGGCACAATCTCGGCTCACTACAACCTCTACCTCCCTGGTTCAAGCAATTCTCCTTCCTCAGCCTCCCAAGTAGCTGGGACTACAGGCACACACCACCATGCCCAGCTAATTTTTGTATTTTTAGTAGAGACGGGGTTTCACCATGTTGGCCAGGCTGGTCTCAAAGTCCTGACCTCAGGTGATCCGCCTGCCTCGGCCTCCCAAAGTGCTGAGATTCCAGGCGTGAGCCACCATACCTGGCCTGTGGGGACATTTTGGGAGGCTCAGGCAGGCTGACTGCCTGAGGTCAGGAGTTCAAGATCAATTTGGGCAGTCTAGACCCCTGTCTCTACAAAAACTACAAAAATTAGCTGGCTGTAGTGGCTTGCGCCTGTAGTCCCAGTTATATGGGAGGCTGAAATGGGTGGGGTGGGGGTAGAGGCTGCAGTGAGCTGTGATTGAACTCCAGTCTGGCCGACGCAGTGAGAACCTGCCTCAAAAAAAAAAAAAGAAAAAAAAAGAGGGCCAGGCACTGTGGCTCACGCCTATAATCCCAGCACTTTGGAAGCCTAGGCAGGCGAATCACAAGGTCAGGGGTTTGAGAACAGCCTGGCCAAGAGACCAGCCTGGCCAATATGGTGAAACCCTGTCTTTACTAAAAATACAAAAATTAGCCAGCGTGGTGGTGGGCGCCTATAATCTCAGCTACTTGGGAGGCTGAGGCAGGAGAACTACTTGAGCCCAGGAGGCGGAGGTTGCAGTGGGCCGAGATCATGCCATTGCACTCCAGCCTGGGTGACAGAGTGAGACTCCGACTCCAAAACAAAACAAAACCAAAAAAAGAAAAATAGTTCAGAGCAGTCTGAGGTAGGGGAGGTATGCAAAATTTGTCTTCTTGAGACAGGGTGTCACTCTGTCGCACAGGCTGGAGTGCAGTGGTACAATCTGAGCTCACTGCAACCTTTTCCTCCAGGGCTCAGCCAATCTTCCCATCTCAGCCTTCCAAGTAAATGGGACCACAAGCATATACCACCAGTCCTAGCTGGTTTTTGTATTTTTGGTAGAGACAGGGTTTTGCCATGTTGCCCAGGCTGGTCTAAAACTCCCGGCCTCTGGCAATCCACCCGAATCAATTTCCTAAAGTGCTGGGATTACAGGTGTGAGCCACCACACCTGCTGGGTTTTCAAAATTTATCAGGCTCACACAGACAGGAGTATGGGACATGCCCGGGGGACAACTTTTTTTTGTTTCTTGAGACAGAGTCTTGCCTTATCGCCAGGTGCCAGGCTGGAATGCAGTGGTGCGATTTTGGTGCACTGCAACCTCCATCTCCCGGGTTCAAGCAATTCTCCTGCCTCAGCCTCCTGAGTAGCTGGGACTACAGGCATGTGCAACCACGCCCAGCTAATTTTTGTATTTTTTAGTAGAGACGGGGTTTCACCACATTGACCAGGACGGTCTCAATCTCTTGACCTCGTGATCCACCCTCCTTGGCATCCCAGAGTGCTGGGATTATAGGCATGAGC